TGTCAGTGTCGTAACAGTGTCTTTTCATAACCGAAAGATATGTTAATTTTTTTGTTGTGGAATCCAGTAAAGCAGTGTCCGACGTTCCATTAGGGTAATTTGAAACTTATTGGCATTGTGTTGCACAGGAGACAGGAGCTACAGGCTTGCGTGTAGCAGACTTTCGCTTTGATTAAAGTTTGCTTGAGTGACAGTAGGTCTGGCGCGCGCACACACAGGTCTCCAGTACCACGAAGTTTTACATCGATATCAGATAATAAGTTAAGCCATCAATCACTTTATTCTGGCGTACAAGTCAGCCAAAAATCCCTTTCCAAATATGCTATAGCTAGTAATCACTATAAAAGTATTTCATGAAGTAGTGGATGTGAGTGGCAGACTATGCCCGATACCAAAACGAAGCCTCAGGACAGCCAGGCAGACAGATCAGTCGGTAGAGTGGATAGGCTACAGGGCGTGTGATCGAGAAATCAAGAGTTCGCTTCTTCGCAGAGGCGCTCAGACCGACGCTGTGGCCCACCCACACTCCTATCCAATGTCTCCTGACGGTAAAGACAACCGAAACGTGAAACCAGCCGCTCATCTCCATCTAGTACCGAGGTTAAGATTGCGTGGAGCCATATCTCCATTCCCCTTCGTGATCTTCATGGCATGACGTTTATTTAAGCACGGGGATATTAAGTTTCCCTTGCTACAGTACACTACACCACGTGGAGGAAGAATCGCTCCGTATACTCCCCCAGGCAGTCAAGAAATTTCAGCCCTTTATGGAACCCTTATCATGTTCACAAGACCCGCTACTGCTTCAGACCCTGAGCCAGATGAGTCCACTTCACGTCTAGACATTAATCTGTTTCCGCCAGACTTCCTTACTAGAAGCTAAGCATACTACATGTCTTGTGTGGCTCGTCTTCCCCGCTTCAATCACCCTAATTATGTTCGGTGCAGAATACAAATTATTATTATTTAATTTTCTCCAAGTTCCATTTAGTTCAAAAAATTCTCTTTGGCATCTTGTTTATTGCTAGAGCACCAGTTTCATGTATATATGGTTACAGCGCCTTAAACGATTAAATTATATAGCTGTTATATTCAGAAGTTCTCCTTATGAGGAATATGCAAGGAAATGAGAGCCCCCTTTAAGACGGCGCGCAGTGGACAGCTGCAGTGCGGCCGGTTTCGGCAACATCGCGTCTTCGCACACTTCTCTTCCATTGTTTCCACAAATAATTTCGTGTATATATACTTGCAAATGTAAATGCCTTTGTTGTATCCCGTCGCCATGGCAGGCAGTATGGACACGCCACGTGTTTCGGCTCTTCAAGCCATCGTCGGGTATTTAACTGTTTTACTTCATTTCTTAATCCGTTCCTCGTCCATCTTTACGGAGTCGAGGTTGTTTTTTCCATTTTGCTCATTTTACAGAGTGTAGGACTCTCTGGACGGGTGATCAGCTCGTCGCAAGGCCGCTACCTAAACTCAGGACAATGCAAACACATACCAAACATCCATGCCCTGTGTGGGATTCGAACACACGAGCGAAGACAGTAAATGCCTGAGACCTCTCGGCTACCGTGACCTTCTAGCCTTTTTTTCATTCACCTGTATTCGTCTCCAGGTCAGTGTAGAAAGAAACGGAAAATAGATTGTGTGCCCATACTGCTTACTGAGGTGAAGCTATCCCTGTAACAGGCCTTGGAGGCCCATAGGGTTGTGAGACGTCGAGGCTCCCACGTTTCCTATACAATCGACTCACATATGGCCGTGAGATTAGGTAAAGCTATCCCTGTAACAGGCCGTGGAGGCCCATAGGGTTGTGAGACGTCGAGGCTACCACATTTTCTCAGCTCACAGATGGCGATGTGGTTGTCAGCCTTACGCGCCGGCCGCCCTATACCCACCAAGAATATTCATAGTACTCATTTCTGTTAGAGGCTGAGTCGACCCCAGGACCATAGTGCGGCTGGAAGGATTATGTCGATTAAAGAAAATCCAATAAACTCGTCGGGAATCGAACCCGCGACCTTCCGGTTTGTAGTTATAATAAGAAAATAAATAAATTTCACTCACAGTATGATGTTACGATATAACATTTCTCTAAGACTTCTTTTAGAGCAGAGTGAAAAGTTATTTTCTCTGTATCAGAGTCCCTGGATTGTTCACAACCCGCCTCACTGGCGTGTTGCTATGACGGCGTAGCGACAGAACGCGGGCAACAGCCGCTGCTCCTGTTGTTCAATCGCACTAGAGAAATATACACAAGCAATGCTCGACCGTGAGCAACGCTGTTTTATCGCAAATCGCCCGGGGAGCGGTCAGGTACAGCTACGCAAGAAAGAGCTGCAACACCAACTTCTCAGCTACTTGTCAGAAAAAAGCATCGAAGAAGCTAACCACAAACCACCTCACTAACAATCTCTGTGGTGCAGCGTATTCCTTGTGAAGCTTGCGGTTGGTCAGCTGGTCATGATATGTGTAACTCAAAGAATTGTAATAGTCTTTGGACTCGCTTTATGCAAACCATAAAAAAGTAAATCGGCATGTAGAGTTCCAAACAGATTACATACTGCCTTCTGCAATGTGACGTCGTGTAGTCTGGTACAAAGTTACCAATATTTTGGACGTCTCTGCTGCATCCAAACTGAGGACAGAACAACGAGGAGACGCTGGAAACTAGAATACTCGTAACTTGCTTCCCCTACTTTTTACATTGAAGATGGAAGCAGCAGGTTTCTCCGAAACGTTAGTAGCCCTAATAGTCACTTCAGCGATAATCTTGTTCCAAACCCGAAATAAATCACTTCTAAGAATATGAACCTAGTTGTAACGACGTGTTGTTCGGCAAATGTCCACTGACGTTTCGGCTGAACGTATCGCCCCCATTTGCAGTATCGAAGAGTATACGTTCGGTTGAGTTTTGGTAATTCAGATCCTTGGCAGTCAAAGGGGTCAAAGGTGCTAAAGTCTCATATGCAATGAATCACTCTTCTACGTCGTTAAACACTTTCCCACCAGATGCCTCGAAGTGTCCCATCTTGTGGCCGCTCCGGCCATACTTCCTGCATCGGCCGCAGGGTGGCGAATAGGTCGCACGATATAAGCGCCATGTCAGTCATAGTTCCAAAGGGACGGAAAGTGAGTGTTGTTCTGGCGAGAGGTCTGTTTCACGGCTATAGACGTAACTTCTAGCGTACTTTCAAAATCATCTGTATTATTAGAGTTAATAAAGTTTTATAACGTTAAAAACTATGATACCATCCTTCATAGGTAACCAAGTTATATATAAATAAAATCTTACAGCACTAATGACACGATCAGTCGCCGCAAATCATGTGCACCTTTGAGTAGCAGATGGCACTAGTGTGCCGAGGAATGTAGCGCTCGTTGCGACGCTTGTAGGAAGTAGCTTCTCAAGCTTTGAGCAGATATAGGCACGACTTTCATGGCGAGAATCTGTTTACCGTATAACATTCCAACTTATCCAGTCCCTAGTTCTACTTAAGGTTACTGTTACACTCCTTAAATCTCCTGTTGGTTTTTTTATTCGCTTCCACTCATTGGCCTATTGTACCTGTCCTAAGTGATTATGATGGAAAATTTGGTGGAATGAAGATTGGCAGGGGAAACCGAAGTACTCGGAGAAAACCTGCCGAGCGCCACTTTGTCCACCACAAATCCCACTTCACCACACCCGGGCCGCCGCAGTGGGAAGCCAAGAATAAACTGAAAGAAGAAAGCAGTCTTCTGGGATTTGGCACCGTGTATGTGTGGTTAGCCGACGTTTCGGAGGAACGTATCGCCTCCATCTTCAGGGTAGAAGAAAAAATATAAGAAATCTGTGGTCCCACAGTCTGCTTTTACCGGTTCTCACGGTCTCTTCGCTTGCAGATTTCTTATATTTTTTCTTCTACCCTGAAGATGGAGGCGATACGTTCCTCCGAAACGTCGGTTAACACCACATATACACGGTGCCAAATCCCAGAAGACTGCTTTCTTCATAGTCAGCGCCGTGAATGCCTCAAATCTTACAAGAATAAACTGCTTGAGCTATGGCGAATCTAGTGTCCATTTTCCTTAGCTTAGATCATTTATCCAAAGAAGTCATTCAAGCACGAGGCCCTTTGTGACCTTTTGTAACAAGCCTATTGTTTACGGCGAATTAAGTCCCACGCCCAACCCCCAAGCTGGAACACCACCCCTTCTTGGCTGTCTGCGACTAGAAACTACTTAATACAACTGAGTGGTTTGTTGAATACATTCGTAACCAACAGCTTCAAGAGAGGTCCTTCTCGAGAAGCTGATAGTTGTAAAGCTAGTCGGTAAATTCCAAGCATCTTTAGGAAGCTGAGAGTTCACCACCCGTTATGGGCTATGTGTAATTGTTTAATGGTATATACCTCTGCACCTGAGGCACCCACCTCCAAACGGTTCACTATAGCCCCTCTAGTTGCAACACGTTCCTACACAATTCACATGTTTATGCTGCCATACGGAAAAGCAAATGGGCCTACAGACTTTTCTATGGTACCCATGCCTGTAACAATGTAGGTGCCGGGATAGTGCAGTGGCTACAGCGACTTGCTATGGGCTGGCCAGCCGAGGGGTCAGAGTTTGACTTTCGGTAGGCTCAAGAACTTTCTCTTCTCTATGTCGTTCTTAATTAGTTAAGCACGGTGACTTTACCTTTTACCTATGATAATGTATACATTATTATTACTATTATCGCTCTACAACCCTCTGTTGGGCCTTGGCAGCTTTTTTCAGTATCATAATGTATACAGTTGATAGAATTCCTCGGATAGTGGATCAGCCCTTCGCAAAGCCGCCATCTACACACTGAACAACAGAATAAACGTACACAATATAGACATCCATACCTTGAGTGGGATGCAAACCCACAATCCCAGCATTCAAGCGTGTGAAGACAGTTTATGTGTTAGACCATGCGGTCACGATAATGTATACATATATCACTAAATATCATTAAATGTACACAGTAATTTATCTACATGTTTTGAATTCACTGGTCATATACATTCTGCCAAAACTGGGACTGTCTGTTATTTCAGCACATTACACCACAATTGTAAACATTCTTGCAAGTATTTACAATATACGTAACAGCTCTTTCACCTGATGATCAACAAGGTTAAATTTATTAATGCTAAATTACTGCATATAATAAACTATAACTGGACACAAGCTTGTGCTGATGTCAAGCCAAAGTACAATGCTTCATTTAAAATGATGAAGTAACACACTAAGCGAATGTAAGGTAAAATCATGTACTTATGGGAAATACTTGAAGCATTTCAACTATTCTCACATCACGGGTGTTATCATAAATAAAAACACAGCGTTCAATTTACATTAATGTTAATTCACAGCATTTACATTAAGTATCAGTCATTAACAGGAACAGCTTCATTGTATATTCACATAAATTATATATAACATTTCAATCATATTTATGTATTTCCATATACATTAAATTAACCAAATTATTCCTCAAAAACACAAATAAAAATGTGTAGTTCCAAAACCCACAATTTAAATCCTGCAACACCGTAAACTACCCAGACAACAGTAATCTTCACTCTGTAACTGGAACAGTGGTTTCTTATAATCAAATTCTCGACAAAACTTTAAAAATGAAAAGAAAAATGAAATGATACATATTGAATATGTACCACAGTAATCTTCACTTTGTAACTGGAAGTGTTTTTTTAATTCAAATTCTTTATGAAACTTCAAAAATGAACAGAACACAAAGAGGAATCACACAAAAAATATAAACAAATGAAATGACACTCATATTGAATATGTACTGTTATTTAACAGGACCATTACATAACCTAAAGAGATACGTGTACATTAGATACAAAAACCTAACCAGTTAACCTGAGGGCACTAAATTACATACCATTTCCCCTGTTACTTTTGGATGCACATCGCATTCAGGCTCCACTGTTCAGGACCATCCCTGTATTCAGTGATGTTACATTTTCTTTTTCCTAAGACAGTTCACATGTTTATGAATTAGCTTAATTTACCATATAATGTATACATAAATTATCATATAATTAGTTAACTTGTGTTCACATATCTTATATAGATCGAACACATCTGCTTGCAGATGTTCCATCAACTTCTGCAACAGCAAGAGACTATCCGTCTGAGACCCACATCAGTCTCTTCCACAGAATACAAGACAGTACAGTGTGAGGTTAGCAACAGTTACAACACCCTCAGGAACACTCCTGCTCTTTAGTGTCGAGTGGGAGATGTGGTTTCCTCAGTCACTCCATACAGATACTGGTGTAATAATTTTGAATCGCCCCACAACAAACTGTTTCGCAACACCTTCCAAATCATATTCATCAGTAGCATAACTACAAATTATTCAATGTGAGACTCACATAATGAGAAATATCTCATCCAGTCTGCTGTGTTCAAACTTGCAGTAAAGGTATCACTTTTGTTTCAGGAGAAACATTAGGATCGTGGGCTTGTGGGACATGACACCGTGCTGTATGATACCAACCAACGTTTCACAGGAATGCATTGGCTCCGTGTTCGGGGTTGAAGGCCTTTACTCCAGATGGCCATGCTACACTCCAACATACCTACCCATATACATGGCATCGCATCCCAGAAGACACAGTACTGACCCTCACTGCTATAGGAATACAAATACAAGCACATTCATCATTATCTCTACATCACTCTTGATGACAGCGACAAAAAAGCTAATATTCCTATGTCACACCATGAATTCAGTGGGAATGAGGTTAAGCTCCTGGCATTCTTGACCTCAGCACTACACGGAAATTAATGTTCAGCTGACTTAATGCCTAGGAAAGAATTGTGGTATGCATCAGACAGGAGGCTGCATGGACCTCAAGCTGTGGAGCCCTGCCCCTACAGCCTTACAGCCCGTAGTCAAGTCTCTGCTGGCTGACTTAACCAAGCCAATATGGTGATGACTGCAACAGAACAGAAATTGTGCACAGCTCCTGAATCACCACTAAGGAGCAGAACTAAAGGCAATGTTAACTGACCCAAAATTACACTGTTCTATTGCTTGGAACTGTGAAGCATGTTCACTTAAGAGTACTCCATCATGCCCCACAACAAACACACGAAAACCGTGCTTTCAACTTCAGTGATTCCTTTTTGAAGGAATCAAAAATTGTGATCACTGCTTTTAATTATATTGATGATATATAAATGTGCCATTACACAATTGGTAAATCAGTCAGTGCAGTGACTGAACTACGGGCTAACAGCCTCACAATCAGGGTTCAGTTCCCGGCAGGGGCAGAGAATTGTCTTCACCGCTGCATTCAGACAATCTCTGAGACACACCTAGACTATCTAATTGTACAAGGGCCTTGATTAAAGCGGCCGGGGCGTCAAACTGGCCATTCACCTTAGCCCAATGCCAAGATTAAAAATGCTGGAGCTATACTTGCACTCCCCCGCACACGTCTTCATGGCGTGGTGCTTAATCAAGCACATAGAGGTCACCTTCTGACTTGACATTGCAGAAATGTAGCCGGCACACAACATGGCTGGGGGCAGCAGACTGGGGTCTGATACTACTCTGGCTTCAGCAAGCTTACTGTGACTTTCACGCCGTTAGGAGGAACTGAGGAAAACAAAGAACAGTGAATTGTTTCTCCAGTTTCAAAAGGCACTGATGGTGTCTGAGAAAACACTAGTAAATCCCAGTTACTATCGCCAAGGCGGTGAACTGAAACTTGGACCTCGTGGGTATAAACTACAAATGAAATAGAAACCTAGCATTTACATACATTTTGGTCCCTTGAAACCAAAACTTCAGTTTTTGGCTTGGAGCTGTTACTTTTGTTTTCACAGGCAGTTCAAGTGCCGGGGGCGGTGTGAGTGTGCCTCAGTTTCACTCCGAGGGAAGCAGTCCGTTGAGGTCCTTTCCTTCCAGGTCCTTCACCTGTGGGATGGTCTTCTTGAGCTTGGTGACCTCGGGGCTGTAGCCCCACATGACCAGCTCCACGTGCTCCTTGGTCGGCACACCCCGCACCTTTTCCTCTGTGAGGTACAGACGGGGCGCGTCATCTCCCTTGACGCGGTCCACGAGGGGTTTCAGGTACTTGTTGCGGTGGACGTCCCAAGTGATGGACTTCTCATCATCGGGGTTCACCTTTAGCACGCGAAGCTTCTTCAGGTCGCCGTCGGCCTCGCGGTAGGCCTTGAGGAAGCTGATATGGACGCCGGGCACCTCCGTCTTGACGCCGTACCTGTCGGCCAGGGGCTGGAAGGCCTCGACCACGTCGAGCGGCAGGTACCCGAGGTTCTCCTTTGCGCGGCTGCGCGAGCGATACTCATTCAGCCAGTTCTCGAATGTCTCGATCGCCTCGGACAGGTTGCGCAACTTCTCCGGGTCTTTCGTGCGCTTGTGGATGACTTTCGCGCGGTGGAACATGGAGTTGATAATCTGGAACTGGAACGTGACGTCACGGCCCTCCAGCAACTGCAGCGTTTCCAGCGCCTTGTCCTTGTCCTTGAACCCTGCGCCCTGGAACGTTGTCTCGGTCGTCTCGCTGCCGAACAGCTGTCCGCCCGCCCACCTTGACGTCTTCTTCTCATCGTTCGCGGCGCCGTTCTTGTCCTCGGCGTCCGCCCCGCGCTTGTCGGATTTCACCTTGGGCATCCTGTTGCAAGGAGTGACATCTGTGAGGGGCGATGATACTGGTGGTGATGACACGGTGCCTTGGAGAGTGTTGATATGAGAGGAAGAACGGGACCCCGCCATAACTCAGGTGGTTAGTCCCAACGGCGGCCCGGGTTCGAACCCAGGTCATGTGGGATTTGTGGTGGACAGAGTGGCACTGGGGAGAGATCTCTCGGACTACTTTGGTTTCCCCTGCCAATTCTCATTCCAGCAGCTGCTCCACATTCTTTAACCATTCGATTATCGACTCAGCCTCTTAACAGAAATGAGTACCAAAAATCTCCCTGGGGTTAAAGGGTGGCCGGGGCGTAAGGCTGACAACCTCACCGCCATCTATGAGCTGACTGTCCAGAAAATGTGAGAGCCTCGACGTCTCGCAACCTTATGGGTTTCCACGGCCTGTTACAGGGAGAGATTTACCTCATCGACGCTACAGTCTTTATACTGCCAGAATCTTTAAATAAGCAACTAAAAGAGCATCAGAAACAGGAACACAGAAGTCGAGGAGGATCTGCCGCAGAGTGTACTTCTCTTAACGGAAACGCTTCTGAGAGTTGCGTCTGTTTCATCACTAGCGACAGTCCACCCGCAACTGATAACGCGGAGTTACTGAACCCGGAGGCGGCTTCTGCCGCTACACTCCGCGAATCGAATCCCTTGATGATGAAGTTTCATACCGTAAGGCTTGTTTTGGGAAAGAACGCTTGGGCACAACTCCAAATTCACTTCACTCACCTCTTATTAAATTTGATGGGGGGGGGGTACAGTGACAAGCAGTCACGCGAATTACATTTTTTTTTAATCTGTCTCCTACTTCCCGGAACGAACACAAACTAGCGCTGGGCTAGTACATTCGGGCCTGATGATTGACGGTTTTGTGCAACAAGCCTCTACACGCATGCGCGCCTCAGATTATTCAAATGAGTATTTCTGCTGTTCTACGTCGCAAATTTCGGAACCNACAAATCATTCGAACCGTATTGAATCTCCAACTGAATAATAATGTTTCCCCTGAGCTACTACATGAAGAAGTGTACAGAACTTGGAGGTAAAACTCCACCCACACGTTGTGCACTTCGCCAACTGAAGAGTGGTTAATTTGTACCCTTTGGCAGCTCTAGCAGAGACAGTGCTGACAGATGATGACACTGTTATCAATAATAATAATAAATTTACATAAACTTTCCAGCCACACTGTGGCCTTGGCGTCGACTCAGGAATCTTCCTGGGGGTAAAAGGCGGCCGGCGCTTAAGGCTGACCTCACCGCCATCTGTGAGCAGATTGTCTAGAAAATGTGAGAGGCTCGACGTCTCATAACCCTAAGGGACTCCACGGCCTGTTACAGGGCTATATCTTCACCTTTTTATAATAATAATAAGGTAAAATTGTATCTGTGCTTAACTAATTAGGCACAACTCCATTAAGGCGTATGTGGGAGTGGATGTATAGATCCACATTTTCTTGACCTCGGCACTAGTTGGAGATGAGTGGTCAGCTTCACGCCCCTGCCGCTTTGCCCCTGGGGAAAGAGCCCCCGTACCCATTGGATAGGACGCTGGGTGGGTCCCAGAGCCGGTGTGGACGTGAAGAAAAAATTCTTTGCCCTACCAGGACTCGAACTCCGACCCCTCGGTCGTCCAGCCCGTAAGCAACCACTATACCGACTGCGCTATCCCGGCTCCCATAATAATAATAATAATATAATGATATCATCATTATGACAACACACTATTACCTTTCAACTTCTGAAACACTGCGTAGAATATAGTTTTATACGCCGTCGACTGGCGTCCATATACTTGGCTTCCCACACAAACAAAAAGGCACAATAAGCATAGAATGCGCAAATACGCTGTACTAGTCTTCTCGCAAAACATCATGCCCTGCCCGCTTGTATCCAGGCGCGCATTTAACTGACCGCAAGGTACAGGCAACGCAGTGCGGATTGTACTGTACCAGTCCCTCAACACTCAGCAGGGCAGGGGAAACCGTGGATCAGTATTGCTCTGAGCACCACTATTCCAGCATGTACTGTACACTGGGGTTGAACTCGGGCCTCCACGGCTGGAAGCCGGCGACCTAACCATCTGAGCCCCGGCACTGCCTTACCAACGCATCAAAATGTCTTAACACAGAGGCAGAATTTACTCAAAGGAAGAGGTGCTGCAACAAAGGCAGTGATAGGAAATGGATGTCCGTGATAAGAACAGCAATTATAGCAAACCGCTTAAGCTACAAGGCACAGTACTAACCTCACAATCAGCACTACACTACTTTCTGCAAGACCTCCGCCCCTCCTGCAAGTCCAGTGCGTCTCCAAGTGAAGTTACCTTAATGCGGGCCACACGTTTTGCCTGGCCGGAATGTAAACACGCGGGGCGCGTCCAATGGCGTCGCTAGGACAGAGAGAGACGAGCGCTGTCAACAGTCCGCGAGCAACAGCGACAGAGAATGCTTTCCGCTCGCGAAGTGTGTCAGGGTCCCAAAATACGCGAGTGATGTCACAAGATGACGTCATAGACCATAAGAAACCAACCAGTCCGCTTGTTACAGTCGTGGATATGCAATCTCTATTTCTGTCTATTCTATATATTAACAGAGAAATGTGAGCAGTGGCGGCTTGTGCACTTCAACAAGCGTTCTTGCAGTTAGCGTTATATTGTTTTCTAGAAAGCTTATCAATCAGTTCTTTGCCAGATCCGAGGTTCTCACAGCGGTCACTATGAAGAGTTCTATCTTCATAGATGTAACGCCTTGTAGTCCGGTAAAATGCTAACAGCTTAGCTTACTCTTTGATCCTGAAGATGGAGGTCATATGATCCATCGAAACGTCGGCTGACCCTTACCGCTTTCCTGATGCGGGTACAAGGAAATTTATTTGCAATCCAGAAAAGCATGGTAATTCAGATGTTGCTTGAGGGCAAATATTGTGTAAATATATGAAAAAGGTTCTGACGTTGGTGTGTACGTATGAGTCCAAAAATCCAGTAATTCTGAATAGAAAACTGTATGAAAATGTGAAAGGTAACACGCCGTCCCCCCCCCCCCCCACATTTTCTACACAATCGGCTCACAGATGGCGGTAAGGTCGTCTGCCTTACGCGCCGGCCGACCTTAACCCCCGGGAAGATTCCTGCTACTCATTTCTGTTAGAGGCTGAGTCGACGCCAAGGCCATAGTGCGACTGGAAAGATTAGGTCAACTTAAAAATGCAATGACCTCATCGGGGGTATGAAAATAAATAGGAAACGAAACCAAACAAAGAATTCAAATCAAATAGGACACTAAGTTTGCAAGAGAATAAACTTTAATTGATGTGTTAGACTTTAAAAATCTTCTTCTTCCTCGTAATTAGGCTGGCCACATCTTCACACAGAGAGAAAGAAAGGAAGTCTTTCTATCGCTTACGATGTCTTGCTGGGCTTTTTCCCTTTTCTGTGGAGTTACCCCTGACGACGCCTAACAATTCTACCTTCTGTCATTCTCGAAACGTGTCGTTCCATTCTTACCTGCGTTTATCCACCCAGGCCCCTACTGGCTCGACTCTTCCTCCTGCTTAATCTAAATAAATGGAAAGTGCGCCGTCCGCGTGCAGCTGGTCCGAATTGCTGACGTTTTGCTGTGTGTGTGGACACGTCAGACTGTCGTGCCAGGGTACTTAAAAAGTGCTTCGCAGGCCTGCTAACTTAGCCATTACATTTGCATAGATCCATCAGAAAGAAGTGTAACTTAGTCGGTATAGCGACTGGCTACGGGCTGCACGACCGAGTGGTCGGAATTCGAGTCCAGGTAGGGTCAAGAATTTTTTCCACGGAGTCCAGACCGGTTATGAGGCCCACCCAGCCTCCTATTCAACGGGTACCGGGTGTAAAGCGGCAAGGGCGTGAACCTGACCCCTCACTTCCAACTAGTGCCGAGGTCAAGAAAATGTGGATCTATACATCCGCTCCCCCATACGCCTTCATGGCGTGGTGTTTAGTTAGTTAAACATAGGGACTACTTTCACCTAGAGAGATTGCGGATTTATACAAAAGAGAAACCCAAACTGTTCCTAAATAACCAGAGATTTGAGGCCGTCACGGCAGTGTTTTGGGATGTGACGCCGTGTAGTCTGGTAGAAGTTCGCTTATTTTGGGGGGGATTGCTGATTGTTTGGTAAGCCAAGCCGATACATGAAGGCAGGGATCTCCTCCAAAGCGTCGCTAAGATTCTACCAGAATGCACTGCATCACCTCTCACAGAGCAGTACTCAGCGAGTTTATGGCCTTCAGTGAGCCTTCAAACAGCTGCGAACTGTGTCCGGCCGGCCCTGAGTGCTTGAAAGTGGCGCGGGTTGCCAACTTTCGCGCGGAGCGGTAGGACCTCGTAAAGAGGTCACGCGCTCCTACCGAATTCGCACCTGCCACTGCCAGTGAGGCCAGACGTGGTGCATACCAATTTGCACCGTGGCACAAGCGTCGCAGGGAGTGGCAATGTGTAAGTGTTCAGGTACAAGAAGTAACCTGTTTCAGCCTCTTTGCCTTAAACACGTCTCAACAGCTTTGTAAAGATGGTGAAGCTATCCCTGTAATAGGTCGTGGAGGCCCATAGGGTTGTGAGACGTCGAGGCTCCCACATTTTCTAGACAATCGGCGGTTATGAACATTCGGGTTCCATAAAATGTTGGGACTGGGCGACTGGCCGCTTCTCAAGTAGGGTTCGGCTCTCATGTACGTGTAGTTAACGATTTCGCTTACATATCAACTTTCTCTATATAAGACATTTTTGCAAATGGCTTCTGAGCTAAACTGTCTTCGAATCGCTACAGACACACTGGAAATTTTCTTTTCGACGCTATGTCCAATGTTACAGAATCCAAACGAGCCATGTCACAAGCAGGCTCTTAAACACGCAAATGTCTGTTCAGCACTGCTACCCCGCAATGTACAGGCAAGCCGCAATTCATTTGTACATCAAGTGACTGGAGCTCAGCAGCCGGGCGCTGGTCAGTGATGTAACGGCTGACGTCAGGCGCTCGCCATGTTTACATGGTCACCATATCTTATTTGTTTAACCTCACTCGCAAACAATGATCATGAGTTATGCGGTGTTTACCTTCGGGCAAGCGGAAGTATGGCCGCTTCCATATTACATTCTCACTGGATATGAACGCTAAGGCCGAGGGCAAACGAAGGAAACTGGCAACCGCAACGCAACCAAAATTTTCCGAGTATCGTTGAACACATGTTACAGACTGGGGCAGCGCAAATTGAGGAAACTGCTTCGCCGTTTCCTTCAGTAACATGTGTTCAACTCAGGCTGATAACAATTCTCGGAAATTGCGGTTGCGTTTCGGTTGCCAGTTTCCTTCCCGTGCCCTCGACCTAACAAGCTAGTGTACTAATACATGTCTGGTATCGACTTTCACCATAGAAAAAAGGAGATACAGGGCACCGTCTGAAAAAACCACGAGTCTTTATCGGGGTGGGGTGGGGAGTGATTGCCAGATAATCTGTTTACAGCCTTTTGCTGTAACCGTTGAAGCGTCTTTTCACTGATCACCAGTGGCGGCTCGTGGCTTTCTTATGTGGTGGGGCTAGTCACTATATTTTATTCGTGGAAATCGAAATTCGATTATATATATATTGCCAATAAAGCCATTTGCAGTATATATGTGTAGTTGTAGAGGTCGTGACAAGTAATTTAAATGAGGAAGGACGGAAATATAGGGAGTGAGAACGGATAGACCCCTCTCGTCATCAGAAATGATTCCTATTAAAGGCCAAACAGTGACGCTTACTTCAGGACTAAGATCTGGACATGAGCGTCTGAATGGGCTCTAAATTAAGAGAAAGTGACTGGCCAACCGTCAGTCGTAAAATTGCTTGAAACGAAGCAGGAAGTAAAGAGGATTTTTGTAAACATAGAAACGAAGCGGTAGGATATGTGGAAGACGAAGGCGAATAGTTGTCATAACCGTGGCGGTCCTGTGGCAAGGCACTGGCACATGGTTTAGGAGATACGTNTGGTTCGAAGACATGACTAGTTTTGTGAGGAAAAAATTTAAGAAATTTGTGCATGTAGGAAGCAAGTCGTACTATATGAGGAAGGTGAAGGTAACAAATTTGTATAGATCTGGTGCTACGTGGGCAATACATTGGTGTGGTATTGGGACGGTATCGGGTTCGAGACCACGGTGTCTTTTGTCAATAGAAATTGAAAAGTGAATAAATAAATGCGATTTTTCTGCAGCTATAAACCAAGTCGTAGAATATTTTTTTTGAGATAGATTCATACAATCTGTCCAATTAAGGACAATGAGCACTTTTGGTGACTGAGGTAACTATGTCATTAACAGTGTTAATAAGGCTATCCCAGTAGATGCCTTAAGATTTGTGGCATGTATACACTTAAAACTAGCTAAATCTATCAGATAAGTCTGACGGCTTGAATCTTTTTAATCTCCTAACTTCATCTTCATGGGTTAGTAGTGAGGCTGCGAGTTCGTTTGGATGTGCTTGTAGTCTCCGACTGTACTTAGCACTACACTTTTTAATTTCTTCTCGCACTGTAGATACACTTAAGTCCTTATGTAACACTGTATTGGGCACATACCAGGGCGCATCAACTATTTCTCTGAGAATCTTGTTCTGAAATCGTTGTAGTATTTCCAGGTTTGAATTGCTGGCTGTTCCCCACAGTGATATTCCATACGTCCATATAGGTTTGAGTATTGCCTTGTAGAGTAGGAGTTTGCTATTAAGAGATAGTTGTGATCTTCGTCCGATTATCCAGTACAATTGCCGAGTTTTCAGGCCCAATTGTTTTCTTTTGCTGAAGATATGTTTC